AAGGGACTTCGATTTTTCCTCCAAATATTTCACTTCAAACTTTGGAGTGAAAGGAAATAAAACCTCTTAACCTTGCCAGTGAAATTCGTACCGACAGATGAGCTGCAATAGAAGGCACACAGTAAAGTCGCAACAATAAACCTATCCAGGATCGATTTACCTGATAACCTTGCGTTGGAGTTCAGGCTCAGTGGGTCAGGCCTCAGCTCAGCGTTCAGGCCTCAGTGGGTTCCTCACAGGCTCAGCTCAGCCGCTAGGACTCAGTAGCAATGGACACAGACTCAGCTCAGGTTCAGTAGTTTTCTCATTCAGACTCAGTGTCAGAAAATACATCAATAATCACCTATATAAAACAACTTGCATCGACTGAGGAGATGTAACGAAATGGACAGTACAAATATGAATCCAGATTGACGGACACTTCGCTCAAAACCGGATGTTAAGAACATAGTCCAACGATATGTTTATTTTGATCCGAAATACATGATGTGTAATTATAATAATAACTATTAATAAATAATGATAACATTTAGCTGGAAACTATACAGTGTTTCGGATACTAAATTTACACAAATGGAAAACTCTTTCACTAAATATAAACATACGGTTTAAAAAGCGATTTACCATTTCGAAAGGGGGCTAAAACGTGAAAATAAAAGGTATCATTATTCTACGCCCTGAAGAATAAAACTTCCTTTCGAAATCGGCCTTCAGTACCTCGTTGTCTCCGTCACATTTTTGTTGTGTTACACTAGGTTACTTGTCTATCTACTGTTTATGTAATTGTATATGATTTATCAATCGTAACCCAAAAATTGTCGGACCGGACTATTCCCGTGTTCCGCGAATTGCAACCATTACTAACATATGTCCGTTCCGTTCCCATACCGTTATTTCGTCTATGCGCTAAGTTCAACCCTCCAGACTGGTAGCTAAAGTCGGCCCCTAACGGGTGTTAAGTGAATATCACTTACAAATGTAATATGAGTTATCTCTATTCGGGGTCTTTCGTGTACCGATGAATCGGTAGTCGTTTACTGCTGTAAGACTCGGGTCCAATTCATCCGGTAACACGAAAAGGCACAATGAGCCGGACTCTAGAAATAAAACTAATCTAGTCGCATGAGATACTATCATAAGTTCTTGGTCCGGATTATTACGAGACTTGAGCTTAGGAATTCATACACACATGCCTCGGAATTAGAGCTTAAACAAAAGGTTTGCATTGCTCCCCCGTAAAACCGCGACGAGAAACGGGTTTAACAGATTCGTCTAGACACTTTCTTATCGTCGTGCTATGCCCCACAGAGACTCGTAGAGATTGAACCTTATCCGTCCCCACCTGCGGCGGTTCAAGCACTGCAGCGGAAGGCGTCCACCCGTGTACCGGTTCCGTCGTCTCATCGTAGACTGACGCTTCTCTTTTGAACGAGGGCTTAGGCTCAGGGTTCAGCCTCGGTAGTTACATGTTCAGCTTCAGGCTCAGTAGGGGCACCCACTTTTTAAGTTGGCGTCAGTCAGTAGGCACGCCGCTAGTTAAGTGAGCTCAGGCTCAGTCAGTAGCACGCGCTTTAAGTGCTTCAGGCTCACAACGCTCAGCCGCACGTTAGTCTAACGCCGCTCAAGGCTCAGGCTTCTAGATTCTTCCAGGGCTTTTAGCCGGTGAGCTCACTGAGGTAGAAGACAAAGGAGAAACCGAAGATGTATTAACTAACAAAAGCACGTCAAAATACATTGTCACGTATAGCAACATAAATTAACATAATTCTTTTCGTCCGTCACCCGCTGAGGCAGTATCCTACGTCCACCCCGTGTCCACCTAAGTAGACATGTTAAACAAAATCACGACACAAGAAGGTAATCACGTGTTCACACGGATAACTTACCCCGGGCACAAACTCGCTACACCCCCGTTCGGGGGAGGGAGGAGACGGATTAGATTTAACTTACCCAACGACATTTTCGGATGTGACCCGTACGAGTCTCATAAAAAGATAAGTTTACCACACGCCGGGTTTTTTCTTTTTTATTAGTGGTTCACCCGTATCACGACCGAAGGATGGTTGCAGTTAGAGTATTAAGTCTCTCGCCTAACCGACATTCATGTGCAACCGACGCTCTTTTTCACATCAAAAGTGGGACATCAGTTGTCTCGCCTCAGTGTCTATCTCGTCGCATATCGCTAATTTTAGTGATTTTTGCCTTTCTTTTACTTTACTCTAAACTGGCGTAG